TATGTGTTAAAATGATTCGGGATAGCTTTATTAGAGGGAGGCTGTTTTCTTTGGTATACTTGAAATTGTTTCAAATAGCTATTTTTGCTTCATTAATATTCTAAAAAAATCAGTTAATATGTTAAAAAAATTAAACACTTACACATTTAATTGATAGATTTTGTAAGTGTAGTGAAAATTTAGCGATGGAGAGTTTTAGAGTTACAGAACACCAAGTCGCTTGGAAAGAAAGAAAGAAGATTTCATACAATTCAGCAAATCAGTTTTAGGTTAACATGGGGAAAATATATGGTAAATCTGTGTATGAATTATATTGTATTATACAGCTCAGTAGAAGATTTAGAAAGGAGCTCTGATGGTGTGGTCATTAACTCAGCTGCTAAACACAAGGTCAGCAGTTCAAACCCACCAGTCGCTTCCTGGGAGAAAGATGGGACAATCTGCTTCCATTAGGATTATTACAGTCTTGGAAACCCTATGGAACAATTCTACTCTGTCTTGTAGGATATCTATGAGTCAGAATTGATTTGACAGGATTAGGAGATTCAGGATATATTTTTTTTAAATAATTATTTTGAGAATCTACTGTTCTGTTTCAAAACTTCAGGTGTAGGTTTTCTCAAATGTGTTGAGAACTTGGAGCTCTGAACTTCCCTATGTGAGAAAGTTGTTGCTTTGTTGTTCATTTGGGAATGAGACACCAGATTTCTTCTAGGCTTAACTGATTCTGAGGTAATTTTATGTACTATCCAGTTCCCAAGTATTTTGAAAAATACATGCTATTTAATTTCTCTAATCAGTCTTCTCTCAATGAAAACAGATCTTTCAAGTACTAAAGTGTGTTCTTTGGTTTTATTAAGAATCTTATGATAGGCAGTCACTCATAATACTCAATCAAGTATGAGTAAGATATGCCAGTGATGTTGCAGTACATGTTAAATTCCTTGAATTTTGAGAGACATTGAAGAAAAGGGTAGAAACAGATGTTTCCCATTCAGATGGCTAGAAATTGCAGTCTTCACAACAAATAAGGGCATAGGGCACTTAACATATGTTAAGACATCTCATGTAGCAAATCTCATTATGACTATGTTGGAAGCTGCTAATTTTGATAGGCTATGGAATTTGTATATATCTTTATCCCTTTAAATTTATCATTCAATGTAGTATGATTATAGTCAATTTTCTTTTTGTTCCTTTCCATTCAGAAACATACATATTTATAAAATTCCTAATGCCTATGAGGAATGAATCAATAGCTGTCTATTTCAGGTGCCCCTGAAGAGCTGAGTATTTATGGAATAAATATCCTACTACCACCCCCCCACCTCCTAGTTGAATTATATAATAAAGCAAATACTGAGAGCCAGCTAGAGTCAGTGGATTTACTGGCAATATTTTCCTCTCAGATGTTGATGAAATTTGCACTTTCTTTTACCTACAATTTTTTTCATTATTACTTTCACTAAATATTTTGGAAAACTCCGTTTTGATGAGAGAAAGGGCCTGTGAAATACCTTCTAGAAAAATAATCCAAGGTATAATTAATTTCTAAATCCTGCAAAAAGGTATGTTCCATGTGTGCAAAACCATTTTATAGCCCACTGTAGTCCTGATCAATGGCATCTACCAACTTGAGGGCCATCACACAATTTGGTATTTTGACATTGCCTTTGAACATTTATACACCAGCCAGAGGTCTATGAAGTTCTCACAGCATATTATCTTGGATTTTTAAATAATAATAATAAACGTCTTAGTACTGTAGTTTCCTGGTAGAGACAATGGCATTATTTGATATAGTGAGTTTCCAAGTTTTGCCAAGTTAAGAGCTAGAATTGGAGCTCCCCAGAGAAGTCTTCTGCAGTTGCTCACATGTAGGGGATTCATACACCTGAGACAAGTACAAAGCCCACGTAAAACGGTGATCAGATCAGTTATGGTCTAGAAGGGATCAAAATAGAATATTAAGTCCCAAAATTTGTCATTACTGGCTTTCTCATAATCAGTTTGCTGTGCTATTTATTGTGATGACCCAGCTTTAAAGAAGCCATCGATAATGTTAACCTGGTTGAAAGCATAGCCAGATGGGAACCATTGCCGTTATGTAATAAAGTTTAAGGTGTAAAGAACTTTCTATTTTTACATGATTTTATTTGCTTTGAAAATTTCATAATGATACTTTAATAACAAATCCCTAAATTTGAGACAGGCTTCTTTTCCATTGTGTGGTATAGAAGTTCATAGATTTAATTCCTTACTCATTTCAGGTTGAGCATTTTCTTTGAACTCTATATGGTGCTGGAAACTAGGGCAACTCAAACCAAAGGATACATGATAGGTGACACTACAAACATAAAAATTAGAATGAAACATCAAATAATTATGTTAAAGAATAACTTAGTGACCCTCTGCTCATGATTTGTAATATGCTGTGGTCAATATCTTTTCCTGTGTCAATGGGAGCTCATTAAATGTAAATTCTGCAGAGTAACTGAGCCATGCCATATCAGTGCTTGCCAATGCTTGACATTTTTAATACATTAATAATATGTCTGTAATGTAATGGAAAACTATTAATCACAACTGGTTATGTGCCAGAAATTTAAGCTATAATTGGCTGTTTCTTGTCAGGAATGTCTGCCGCACAGTCCTGCATGTGCCTAATATTCAAATATCTTGCACTCCTCTGCATTTTTCCTTGTCAGTTCTCTAAATTCGATCAATGATGTAGTCCATAATTCTATGTAATGACCATCATTATAATTCTGGTACACTTTAATGAGAATTCGTTATGTTGGGATTGCTGTGTGTCAGGAGTCAGTAAGAAGTTCACAGGATTTTCCTTAGTATCCAGATTTTTAGTGTACAAATGTATGTTCACCCTTTATTTTGTGATTGCATTAAGACAAAATATGGATGAGACAGAGTAACCAAGAGTAAATGGGTGTGGGAGATGATGGCTGTTAGTTAAACACACACACATACATACATATTTAAGACTAATCTTAGGAAGCATGCAAACATACATATAAATCTATATTTTTAAAAATTACATACAAAATTAACACATTATGCTCACTCGGTTCAAACTCAAAGCAGTCTATTCCAGGTCTTCAATACTGCATTAAATTTGGAAAATAAATAGCTGTATATCTGAAACTAAGAATTGAAGTTAATAATTTCTGGTCTAGTAGATTTTCCACTGCCCACTTTCCTCCCCCTGGGGAAGCATGTATTTCCTGCTGTGATAAAGTAGTAAACACACTTGAAAACTGCATGTAACAAGTATAAATTTATATTGTTTTTAACACATTTTCAGATTATTAATTCAAATTGTTGGACGTTTCTGAAAATATCAACTTAAAATTACTAACAACAACAAAAAAAAAGCAGAAGGCTGTAATAGCCATAACACATGCTTCTTTGTGTGTGGCTTTTTTTTTTCCCCCTCTTTTTCACTTGAGATTCCACAATGTGTTCAACATAGTATATAGTCTTTACATTACAAGAAAGAAGCAGGTTCAAATCTGTAGTTTATACACGATTAGGCAAACTGCTAATTATTACTTCATGGAATTCAAATATTCAACACTCTTCCTAATAGAAAATATCACAAATTGCAGCTGTATGATAATATTTTATGAATTGAATATAATGAAAATTGCACTTGCATCCATAAAGCAATTATTATAAATTACTTTGCTATGGAAACACAATTCAACCATCTGTTGGTATTTCATAGTCTGTAGCTTAGTTCATTTTAAGATGGTACATTATTTAAATATAGTGAATTCCTTTTATAAGATTGTTTGAAGATAGTGAACTTCCATATTTAAACTAGTTCATGTGAACTGAAGGATCTATAATGGAATTTCCCAAAACTGTAGGCTTTTTTTGTCTTTTTCAATTGTTTAAAAAATAGTTAATTTGGGGGACTATGAATATGAAGCAACTAATTAAGCAAATAAACTTTTTTTTTTTTTATACCCAGATCCCAAATATTAGTGTTTGTTTAGATTTGGATAGTCATCTCAAAGGAAAAAGTTGTCCCTTAAGCTCACCAATCATTTCCACCCATAGTTATGCAGGCTGCATTATAAGTTAACTTTTAAATAGTAATTTTCATTTTCTTTTAGAATTAGTGCCATATTATTCTGCTTCATGGCCTGTTAACTCACCCTCAGCTGTTTTTATATGTGCATTTTAAATTGTGCATTTTACTACAGAGCTTTTAGTTTTAAAGCAGTGTATAATATTCACCTTTGGGACAAATTCTCTTCTGTTATAGAAGGTAACCACAAATGCAGATGTAATGGCTATAAAAAGATGAAAAGAAACAGAAAATTCTTATGAAAGGAAGATTTGCTCCTTTGGTTTTATTTTTGAATATTTTTTTCAGAGATCCAAATTAACTTTATCATCAAATACAACTAAACAAAAGTGGCTAAATTCTTCCAATATAATGAGCAAACCCAAAGGGACAGGCTCATGCCAACAATGCTGGTTTTCATTCCAGCTAACAAAAGCTAAGAAATAACACAAGAAATTTGGAGATTTTAGGGTCTTTCTGCCAAGAGACAAAAAAGCACACAAGTAGTTGTCATTTCTTTGCTATTGTAATAAAAGCGCTCATTTCCCACATTGTTCTCCTGTAAGATTTTCTAGCACTGCCAAACACGAGAAGTGTTTAAATCTAGCCACTTGCTATCAGTTTTGTTGTGATGGACATAATAATTTTTGAAGTGAAAACCTGTAACTCACCTGGAACACCTACATCTGTCTTTGTTATGGAAGAGTTAAATCCTTCAGATCAGAATACTCCCCCATGTGAATGATTTCCATGGTTTGCTTGTTCTAGCAAAGCAGCTGAGTAAAGGTTATCCATATTACACCAATTTGCTTTATATTGCTTCAAACCTCCAAAATGTCAGCATATCATACATTTTGTAATGCATTGATTCTAGGACAATAACTCTTACTCTTATTGTTTCTAAAAGGGTATTGGTGCCAGAAGAAAAGAATGATTGATGAGAGACAGACACCAGGTTATAGACACTCATCCTTTTGCTTCAGATCCTAATATCTCAGCGCGTCTGAGCTTCCCTTCTGACCCGTGAACATCAAGGATCACTCAGGGTTATCGGATGTACAACGGAAGACCCATCACTTTGCTAAATTATTATCTGCTTCTGGACATATTTTACAAAAACCAAGCTAGACTCACGTCTAATAGATATGTTCTAGGACAAAGACAAAGCTGCAAGTTGTTACCGCCTACACCACAAGTATGTTAGGCGTCCACCAAAGTTCTCAATATTCCCGAACACGCACAATATCTTAACCCTTCGCATTTGGTTTTGGAGTCTGATTTGAAGTCGACCCTTCTTCTTCCTCTTCTTTTTTTCTTTGACTATACAGACCTACCTACAAATAGACATATATGTATATGTATATATAAAACGGACACAGATCATAGATAAGCAAACTCTGCTTTAACTGCTACGAAGATTGTAAAGAATTTAGAGATGTATTTGTCAAGATTTCTGTCAATTCATGCCCTTTGGGTTACAGTGTCCTCAGTGATGCAGCCTTTCCCTTTGGTGTGGGGACATTATGATGTATGTAAGACTCAGATTTACACAGATGAAGGGAAAGTTTGGGATTACATGGCCTGTCAGCCGGAATCCATGGACATGACCAAATATCTGAAAGTGAAACTGGATCCTCCGGATATTACCTGTGGAGACCCTCCTGAGACATTCTGTGCAATGGTGAGGAACCCTTTTGAATAGAATATCTCATACTAAATGGGGGCATGTTGTATGTGTATACCAGTGTGATGAGTGTAAAGACTCAATATCTGTAATGAACTGAATCTTCAGGTAGCACATTTGTGTTCCCCATCCAGCTTCACTCTCAGTGCAGGCATGCACTACCCAGAATTCTAATTTGCACAGTGTGATATCTCAGTGCAGACCTTCTGCATTGGAACTTACCCTCTGCTTCCCTGCAAATTAAAGGCTTATTATAGCAGGTGCACTGTATATATTACTAAAAAAAAAAAAAAAAAAAAATCCCAACTGAATATTAAATTCCAGATTGGAAATTCAGAATATGATTAGGTCATATGTATTGTGTTAAAGATGAAATCTGTTAGGAAAACAACTTTAAAAACACAAAGCTTTCTTCACACTACCATATAAGGCCAATCCAAAGTTCTATAGTGAAGGCTAGACTAGATCTCATGGTTTTCTTCATCAGGAAACTGTTGTGATTGGTTAGGAGACCAATGAAAAGAGAAGAAGACAATAGAGGAACTAAAGTCTTGTGAGACGCTTTTCTAGAAAAGTCTTACTTGCCAATTGATGCAGTTTCTTTATTTTGAAGGGTCATAGTTTCGAAGGGGTGTTTGAAAGATAAATGTTGAAATGTTGACACATATTTGTCATAAACTAATGGCTGGGGGCATACAAATTCAGATATTATTCTTTTGATAAGCAGGATTTGTTGTTCTCATGGTGAATATACTAGGTGAAAAGGCAACATTGGAGTGGCATATTGAATTTTCACATAAGAATAGCTGAAAATATACCTTCAAAATATTAGTAAAGAAATTGGTTATTAAAGCAATGTTTAATCACCAAGGATAAGAATTCAGGCAGTGTGTTCATTTGGTTTATGTGGTTGCCTTTTATTATAGGTGGTCTTTATTTGATATAAGAACTGTGATCCCATTTTTCTCCACATACAGATATAATTGTATGGCAGATTTTAATAGTATTCTTACCTGACTTTATTATCTTGAACCTGGCCTGGCATTTTCAGGATAGTGAAACTATTAATCAAAGTAACATCTGTTCACAGTCCCCAGTGAGTTAAATTAGCATAAGATCATCTTAGACCTAGTACTATAGAAAAGGTTTTGTAATAGGAAACAATTTTGAGCAATAAAGAGTGTTTTCACCTAAAAGCTAAGGGCTTGCCATTTTTCAGAAGTGCCTTTGGGGACGGTTTGAATTATAGTCTAAACCTGATTTTGTGGAGAGTGAGAAAAAGAGCATGGCTATTAGGTGTCACTATGACTAAAGTGCCCTGAAAGACTAAATATTTCAGAGAGCACCTGTCTCTCTGGGAAACGGGTATATGTTTTTACAAAGAAGTTGCATTTTAGTAGCTAGAGACTTCCAGAAAAGGAGCTTATCCAAATACATTATACATACCCATTGTCATCGAGTTGATTCTGACTCATAACTATATCAAATACATTAGCAACACTATAATAAATCGGTAGAAGAGCATATGTTGCTTTTATAAAAGGCCTTTTATAATTTCTCATAAAAGGTCAGTTTTAAGATCTCCTTGCAAAACCAGGGTGAAATTGCCATTCCAGTATTGGTCGTGCAATCTCCCACTCCTTACAGCAAAGGATAAATTCTAGGCCAGCTTTTCATGTGCTAAGAACACTCTAGCCCTATTTATTGGTTTGCATGACACCTGTAACAATATGTCTCTTCTGGAATTGTTTACTTCACTGATCTAAGTAAAATAGCGAATATCCCTTTACAGGATCCCATTGCCACTGGCATTTGTGTGTGAAGCTTCCTTGGTCACTGCCTCTGGCAAGAGGCTTACTCAGTGCTGCTCTTGTCCATCCTGTTGAAGGGTTTACCTGGTGTCTGCAACAGGCCTCCTTCTCCTATCATGAGTGGGAACGAGTGGGAAATATAAGACCTCCCATGCCTTCATTTCAGAGGGATGTGGCCAAAGGTCCCTAAGCCAATTCCTACCGCTCTGATGGCTGTTAGAGACCAAAAGAGGAAAAAGAATTGAAATGACATCCCTCAGGTTTCTCAAGTGCATTAGCATGTATGCTTTATGTGTTTACATGAAACCCCACAGGACTACCTTTTAAAAGGCTGCCTCCTAGTCTGATATAGAAGCCTTGGCAGCTTTAAAATTGTCGTCGAGCAGAATAATTTTCTGAGGCAGAGATAGTGTAAGACTTGTGAGACATTACCTATCAATGCTTAATTTGTACACCTTAATATGCGTATTATCAGCATAACCGAGTTAATAAGCTAGCCTTCAAATACACACTGTGGGACTATTTGTATACATGTTGTATACAAAGTCAATCACAATGACCTAATACAGCAACATATTCTCTCTATAGTTGTGGTTTTTCCATAAAACTCTTTAGCATAAGGGTTCCTGACACAGGCTATGAAGCTGCCTCTGGATGCTGTCACTTCAGCCCTGTTTAGGAGCTCCTTAGCCCAAGGTCTAATGGGAATCCATAAAGTCATTTGTGTTATGACTTACACATTCTCCCCTCCTTGACACCCACATCCATACCTGCTCCCTCAGAGTCATTATGGCCTATTACATCAGGGTAGCTGCCACATGGGCATGATCACTACTTAGCCCATATATGTAAATGTTTGCTGCAGAATGGTTTTAGCAATCATCTGCTCAGCTAGTGACACCCTTATTAGCTGTGACTAGCAATTCTGAGCAGCAAGCAGACATTTGGTCAGAGAAAGACCCTGTAATTCCCATAGCCGATTTATTTAATATACAGTTGAAGGGCATTGGCAATGCACTCAGGGTCTGTTTTGCTACTTTTTGCATTTGCTCCATCACTATATGCCAGTGACTATCCATGAATACTGCATGTACTTTAACACAGAATGAAATTTTAGAGAAAAGGCACATATGGATGTAGTCGTAGATTCCATTTAATAATAAATCTCTGCTTATTAACCTGGATGACCTCTGACATAAATGCTTAGTGTCAAATAATTTTAAATTGTCCATTTTAATTATACCAGCATTTATAAACATTAGTTTTCTGGAAGAATTCTACCATTTCTATTTATGAAAATAGAATATGGAAATACACACATACACACATATACTCTTACCTATATGTGTGTGACATATACATCTGTGTATATATATGACTTATATATTAAGAACTATACATTTTCTTTACCATTTAGTTTATTCCTTCAAGTTGTTTGATGGCTAAAAAAGAATCTCTGTTTTGTTAAGGGGGAGGAATGTGAAGGGCAAAGGAGGATAACAGTTAATTATTATTATTATTATTTTAATTCTGAGATAACATGTTAGTATATCCTGTCTTTCTTTCACTCATGTTAAAAGCTCCAGGTATCACAGCTCTGTCAGAAAACATAGATCGTCTACTGACTACAGTTTGTTTCAATTTGCATATAATGCAGAGAGCATGATCTGAACCTATGTGTAAAGCTGAAGTGACAACACAAAGCTATGACTTGTTCTTTGTGTTTAGACAAAGTTAGCTGTCATATCTTCACGCAACACCCCAGTGGCTTAAAAATGGCAAAATTATCTGCAATTATCTCCAGCCTGCAGCTAATTTTCTGGGTACGTTAAACAGAAGCTTTGAAAAGAAGCCTACAGACGGAAGAAGTCATGTGAGTTTGTACAATTTATGGAGCAGAAGTGCTGATGATGGTAGAAATGTGAGCCCTTGAGTGCTGCTATGGATTTCAGAGCCAATCAAAACTAAATTAGGAAACAAAGATTATTAAAAAGTCTTCTGTGCATGTAATTTTGGCATAATATTATGAGGTGGACATTAAATGTTTCCCTTGGAGACTTTAGGCATCATTAATGCAGCATGCCTTTAATTACAAGTAGACTCATATTACCAAAAAAATGGAGAAAATAAAGGACTCTGTAGTGTAGTTAGCAATCCCCTCATTATGTTTACTGAAATAATTAAAAGAAAGGGTATAATTTTTCTAAATAAAATGTCAGAATTTGAAATGAAAATGGATTTTCTTTAGGAAATTTACTAATGTGTGCCTGTACCCTTGATAGGCATTTATTCAAGTACTCTAACATATTGTGCTATTTCTAGATAGACTCCTATTAAGTAAAAAAAAAAAAAAAAAAAAAACTTTAATTATTGTAAGCATTATGGGTAGAGCATATTTCACTTTGTTCACATTGAATTTGCAAAACTAGTAGAAGGCGTTCATTCGTGTTTTATGATTTTAAAGGAATCCAGGGAGATGAGTGGGTGTTGATGCCTAGTCTCGGGGCTATCCATAACTTAAATTTCTGATCTGACATCAGCTCAGGTTGCCATCTGGTGGCTATCAGGTGGCCTTTGAGAAATTAATTTTGATAAACTCAGTTAAATTTTCAATGACAAGGAATTAATATCCGTTTTCCAAAAACTGGAAATGACATTGACTTAGTTAAGAGTTGAATAGTCTTAAAAAACATACTCCATTCACATGAAATATAATTCAATAAATGAATGAAGTTTTAATAACAGTGACATCTTTCATTTGCATTGATTTATCCCTTAATTATTCCAGAATGGAATTTTTTTAAAAAAAAAAAAAAGAACAACAACCTTCAGTTCCTTCATTATTAACATTTCATTATTAGTTCATAATTTAGACTTATTTCTTAGAAAAGTTTAATTCATGTTTGTGATGAATTAAGTTATAAGGAGATCAGTCTTTCTGATATATGACTATATCAAGTATTTCCTTAGTGAGGGACCTACAGTCACTCCTTATTATCTATTGTATGAAGTCTAAAGTCATCTACCTGAATTTTAAGTCGGTGAATACAATCTGATTTCCTCCTGCTTCCTCTAAGGGCCCTGTGGCATGTCCATCAGGCTTATGGCTGGCAGTATGATTAGAGGGGGGCTACTGGGTTTGAGTGGAAGCTACCTTGGCATAATATTGTGGTTTATCAGGGAAGA